CCCACCCACACACACAGGCTCCAACAGGTAGCACCCCCCCCCCCCCCCCACCCCCCCCACTGTGGAGGAAGTACTCACCAGGCCAGTAGTACATGAACACCTTCTTCTTGAGCTTCATCATGGTGACCCACAGAGGTTCAGAACCGTCCCACCACAGGGGTAACCGACTGTCCTGGTTGGTACCGATCAGGAACTCCTTGTTGGACGATTGGTCCCACATGTAGTTCCCAGTCATCTGATGGACGTCGCAGTGACGGCCTGAAGACGAGGGACGGACAAACGACACGTTCAACCCACAGACGTCTGTACTGGGGGAGGGGGGGGTCTGATCCAAACTGACCACTGCTGTACAGTCACACCAGTGGTCAGACCAGACCGCTGAGCCTCGGCGTGTGTGTGTGTGTGTGTGTGTTAGAGAAGAATGTGCTCTGTACAAACACACAGATCAGTGTGACAGTGTTTTCTCTGTTCACTTCCTGTTAGTCAGGAGTTTTAGGGATTCGTTCGATAGGACGTGTCAAACAACAACACACACGCACACGCACACACGCACGAGCCTCAGTGTCTGTTTCTGTTCTGTTGAAGTTGCTTCATACTCTATCGGCTTTATGGAAACACTGCCACCTACCGGCCCATCAACAGCACTGACCGTTGAACTGTTTGTAGTTTGACGATCACTTTATAAAGAGGAAGTCTGCACCTTCTGCTCCCCTTCTCTGACCTGTAGGTGGTGCCAGAGCCTCCAAGACTGAGATGAAGGAGATTTAACCAACATCGTTTTTCTACTTTATAATTCCTGGGTTTAATATTAACTTAAATAAAACCTTTGATGTCCGTCAACATACATGAAGGAGCCGTCTGATTGGTCAAAGGTTCGTGCCCCAGTTTGTTCTGGACGGGACTGGACCCTGCATACTGGAGATTCCACTGGGTTCTTTTCACCTCCATAATTCTTCTTTATGAGAGGCCCTCGGTTGGGGGGCCCTAGGTCAAAGGTCATGGGGAGATTGGAGGAGTTACATTACTGCATTGAACCATGTGTTCTGTTCTCTTCCCACCAGGGTGTGAGGGAGGGAAACTGGGGAGGGTTCAGTCACAGGGTCCACATGGGCCCGGGTCTCCTCCAGGTAGACCCTGGTCCCTGGTCCCTGGTCTACTTAGTCATGATAAACTCTCTTATATACGAGCAGGTCAGTGTCAGTGGAGAGTCCTTCATCATCATCATCATCATCATTATTATATTTGACTGTAATAATAATAGTTAATGTTGTTGTTATTAACCAGTCTGTGACCAGCTGTTCATTAGAATACAGTTCCTCTGACTCACTGTTGTTCTTCTGACTGACTGTTGTTCCTCTGACTGACTGCTGTTCCTCTGATTCTTCTGTCTGACTGACTGTTGTTCCTCTGACTGACTGTTGTTCCTCTGACTGACTGTTGTTCCTCTGACTGACTGTTGTTCCTCTGACTGACTGTTGTTCCTCTGACTGACTGTTGTTCCTCTGACTGACTGTTGTTCCTCTGACTGACTGTTGTTTGACTGATTAAACACTCAGTACAGACCTGACTGTTTCTTGTGTTTTTCGAGGACTAACATCTCAGTTCTGTCAACTCCAAGAAGGTAACTGCGACGTGACAGTTTGTTACAGCACCGACGGTCCCACCGACGGTCCACCGACGGCCTTACCTGTCATCAGAGTGTAGTAATTGGGATAAGACAGAGACGGAAAGTCCGGTGTGGTGTAGTCCACCTTGACCCCGGCGGACAGCAGCTCCTGGAAGGCCGGCAGTCGGGTCAGGTTCTGGGTGTAATCGTAGCGGAAACCATCGATGAGCAGCACCAGCAGCGGCCGCTCGGACAGACACCCTGGTCCGGCCGACAGCAGCAGCAGCAGCAGCGGCAGCAGCGGAGGGAGAGTCGGACACATGACAGCGGAGTGACGGACTGAAGACCGACTGACTGAACACACTGACAACATCTGTGGGTGGAGTCATATGTGGTGGTGGGGGAGGGACACAACGCCTCCCTCCCGCCCCGCCCCCTCCAGTTTCGTAAAACGGATGATTGAACAGTGTCGTTAAACCAAAGATGAAGTCAAATAAAGATAACATTTAGGACGGGGATATAAAGTACAGTTCTGGAGTTGGCTGAGAGGTGGCGCTGTTCTGTCGGTCCAAACTCAGGAACCTGTCCCATCGTGGCTGTGATTTGGTTTGGGTCTGTGATAGTTCTGACAGTACCGTCGACATGATGACGTGGTCTGTGGCTCAGATTCGTCTGTTCTAATTCAACAGTTCCAGCTCCTGTCACTGGTACTGTTGTCCGTCGGTGAACTCAGCCCGGGGTGACCGAGGACACGGTTTATTTTTACCACTCAGTGTCTCAGTGTCGTAAAGTTGTTTATCTTCATCTTCAACACCCAGTCCTGGGTTCACGACAGACGGTACTGTGCAGAAGTACACGGTTGTCTTCAATACTGCATTACTTCATCAAAGTAATATTTCAGTTGAATTCTTTTTTTCATGGTAACTCAGAACTATTCCTGAGCACTGATTACGACAGTATGTATGTATTTGTATGTATTTGTATGTAAACACAAAACACGTGGTTCATGAAAATGGACTTGATTTTCATTATTACGTCAAAAAGTGACTAAAAACAACATGAGAATTAAAATGCAATATCCATCTCCAAAATACACTTTAATGTGTATAATTGTGCTAAAATGTTACGTCAACAAATATATAGTAAAAGTTATGATTGTGTTCATGGTTGGGCCGGTGTTGGAGTATATATGAGTTATAACATTATTTTGAATTATGATCCAAACATTATATAAAATACAATAAATGAATACAATAAAAATAGTAACTCGAAAAAATATATATAAAAAGAAGACATTTTAGGAAAAGAGACTGGTTTCATCAATAAATACATAGTAAAGTAAAATATTTTTATATATATATACATATATAAAATATTGGAAATGTTTTTTCCAACAAATAAAATAATTCAAATATATGTTAAATAAAGACATGAGAAATATTCAATATATACAGTATATAAATATATAAATATAATAACCCAAAGAACAACAGACGAGCCTGGTGTTCCACAGGAGTCGGATCACCGACGTCATATTTCTCCTTTTCTGATAAGACCCGCCCACTCCTGGTCTCTTATTGGTTGAATGGTCACATCGAGCGGGTTTATTGGTTTCAAGAACCGACAGAGGGCGGGACAAAGTCCTCTCCGTGGATCAGAGCCCATTTAAAACACTGGGAAACACGTCGCGCCTCTGGTTCAACTCATTTGCATTAATATCCTCCTTTTCCGGTCACCTGACCTGCCGGATCTCTCACAGCCGCGGGACTTTCTCTTGTTGGCGGGTGTTTGTGGACAGTGCGGAAGGTTTTCGGTTCATTTCAGAGACATTTTTATCTTTTGTTATTTTTTTTATTGTTGTAGAAAATGTCTGCGTGGGTCACGGAGAGACGCCGCAGCGGCCAGAGCTCTGAGCAGGAAGACAGGTATGTTCCTGGAACTGTTCCCGGAGACCGTTCTCCCGCTACACGGTTCTAGTTCGGTTCACAACGTCGTCTTTGTTACTTCATACCACGGCGGAAAACGTGGAGAAAGTGTTGTCTGTAGCCTGTAGCTCATGTAGCCTGTAGTTTCTGTAGCTTCTGTCGTCTCTGTAGCTTTTGTCGCTTCTGTCGCCTCTGTTCCATACGGCAGCGGCCGGTGCCGCGGACATGTTCCTCTGTGAAGAACCAAACCGACATTTCTGTTGAACTGAAACTAAAACAAACGTTAACCCATGAAGTCGATCCCGCGTCCGTTGTGTGTCAAGCGTCAGTAATCGTGCGGGGTTAGTTTGTAGTTGGCTTACAACACACCGAGGCTACAGCCACAGACGGCCGATGTCCATACATTTGGACCCGGAGCAGCGGGCACAGGGACAGGAACCTGGGTCAGAAACGGTCAGTTCGGGGGCAGTCACCCAGACACACACAGGAAGGAAGAGAGGAGTCGGAAGTAGTTCTCGTTCGGTTGGCGGGATTCTCGTTTTACCGCTGTTGTTGTTATTTACCGCTTAGTCCTAGTCTCTACGTCACTGTATTAAGGTGAAAACAATAGTGTTTTTAAATATTAACCTGTCAGTAACGTCAAGGGAAGTGTGGTTTTATAGCGGTTTTATCAAACCAACCACAGCGAATGTAATGACGGACAATGGCGCCAGAAATGAGTGTCTCTGGTGAAGATGTTCCGTTGACTACACGACACTGTTCAAGTAATAAATGAGTGTAGACTAATTATCAGAACGGTCTGATCGTCATCTAATGTTGTACCAACAAAAAAATATATAATTTAAAACTCAAGCCTCGTCAGAAGGACATTCTTAACGATCAGTGTTGAACTGAACATGCAGCGTTTATCAACACATCTGACTTCTAGTCATTCTAGTTCTGTCTGTCAGCATCTTCACTTGGTGATCCCTGACAGCAGTTAGTTAGTTAGCTAGTTAGTTAGTTAGCTGATGTTGTTGTAACAAAGAGCTTCTTGTTTTGTCTTGGTCCTAGGAGCGGTGGTCCACCTGGGTGGGCCCACTGCAGGAAGAGGGGGGTCGATGGAAGCCTGCGTACTCACAGAGAGGCAGAGAGGGCTGATGGGAGAAGACACAGACACTCTGATAACAGACCCACCAGGTAGGAACCTGAACCTGAAGGCACCAGTGTTCCAGGATGGTCTGTGTTCATGTGAAGGACCAGCAGGTCTCTGGGGCGGCGGCGGCGGCCTCTTCATCAAGTGTCACTAACAAGGACGGCCGTGGTCACAGGTGTCGTTGTGCTAACGCTGTGTACTTTGTGTAGTTTTACCACACCGGAGAGCTCCAGTCCCGTGTCCCGCTGTGGGCGACGCTCTGACTGGGGCAGCCAGGTGGAGGACGACGAGATGAGGAGGGACGTCCATAAAGACATACAGCGGTAAGGACGCAGCTCGTGTTCACTGATTGGATGTTTCGTTCGTCACCTCCACTCTGACCACGTGTGATGTGTTCAGTTACAGGAGGAGATTACTGGGCAGCGACGTCTCTCAGAGAGAAAGGAAGGCCTCCTCCGGATCTTCTGGGAGGTGCGTGTTGGTACCACGGTCACAGGACCACCCGCTCCCCCCACCCCCCACTGTATTTAGTTGAGCTGAAATCAAAGCTCACAAACCCCCAGAAAGAACAAAGACTGTGAACGTGTTGTTGCAGTTGTGACTCCAGAGAGGGAGACAACATGGAGACTGACGAGGTGGTTCTGCTGAGACGCCAGAAACAGATCAACTACGGCAAGAACACACTGGCCTACGACAGATACATCAAGGAAGTTCCCAAGTAAGTTCTCACCCGGCACTGATACCACAGCTGTGGAACTGATGGGCTGTGACTCCAGCTCCAGCTCCTCTAGGTCTGACTGGAGCCGAGGCTCACAGAGAAAGATAAGAAAGAAGAAACTTGACTTTCACAGGCAGTATTTGAGGTAGTATTTGAGGTAGTATTTAAGGCAGTATTTGAGGTAGTATTTGAGGTACACACTAAATGCGATTGTATGATATAGTTTTGCACCTGATGAACTGACCACTCAGTGCTAACGTGTTGTTGAGTGAACCATCACAGTCTTTTCACGTGGTGAATTTTCCCGTTGTTTTTTCCAGACACATGCGCCAACCTGGTGTCCACCCAAAAACCCCAAATAAGTTCAAAAAGTACAGCCGCCGCTCGTGGGATCAGCAAATCAAACTGTGGAAGGTCAAACTTCACGCCTGGGATCCTCCGACAGACGAGACCCAGGACCAGGTCCTGGACAACATGTAGGTCCACGCAGGACAAAAGGTGACGTCACAGAAGTTCTGAGGTTTGTCTGACGGCTCCTGTGTTTCTCCTCCAGTGAAGAGCTGGGTCTCGATGATGTGATGGACATTGAACTGGACTTTCCGACCGTTTCTGACTTCCAGAACGCTCCGACCTCCAACACCACACACAGCCTTTCACTGGAGGTGAGTGTAAGAGTGCGTCCTCGGTCAGGAGGTCCGACATGGGTGGCACGGTCGCCATGGTAACGTCACGTTAACCCATGTGGTTGGTTGAGTGCAAAGACAAGTCGATGGAATTGTTCCTCTGGGTCTAGAGGAAGTGTTTAGTGTCCACTTCCTCCTCCTTCTTCTGGGTTGTCACTATTTCCTGTTGTAACTTCTGCTAGTACCGATTGTTATCCCCTCATTTGTTCCTGATTTAAATTGGTCTACGCCCTGAACACCATGAATGACTTGTTACTGTAGTACATGCACGGACCAGTGTTCAACATGTGGGTCAGGGAACTGAGACTGGACCTAGGAGTGAATCCTGCTGTGGAAGTGAAAGGGTTAACATTAAATAGAAGAATCAACCGTTCTTCTTCATCTTTTTCTTTTCTTTTCAGAGCGATGACTGTTCAGGGACTCCAGTAAAGATGCAGAAGATAGAGCCAACAGCAGTGAACCAGTGACCCCTACAGGGCGCCCCCTGCCACACATCTCAAAGAAACTGTGCCTCAGAGAATGGAACTGTGGGAAAAGGTGTGGAGCAGTGGAACGCCTCTGTTGTTGTTGTTGTTGTTGTTGTTTTTATCTGGTGGTTGTTCCCCCTGTAGGTGGGACGGGGGGGTCTTCCTCTCTCATGTCACATTTCTGTCGTCTTCAGTGGTTTGGGATTCACAAAAAAAAAACACTTGAAGCACTGCTGTGTGGCCCAAACGCTGCTGAAATGGCTGGATTTGAACTGAACCTCAGACCGTGGACAGAGGACATGGAGACCAAAGGACGTGTTGTCTTTCATGTGGCCGTTCATTTATGATTCTTTTTTTAGCCTGTTTGGTTTTGCTTCACAAATGTTTTGTTTCTTATTGTTTGCTTTATGGTGAAAATTCTGAAATAAAAAAAAAGAAATTTTACTGTTTTTCTTTTGTTTGTTTTGTCTTGGTCTAATCCAGTCTCCTGGGTGAACACGAGCCTGGTCCCCAGACTGTGGCGCTAGAGCACACACACAGCTACTGTCAGTGAGCTTCACACTTCATGTTTGGGTCAGACCTGACGTTTGCTCTGGTTTCAAACAGTTCACTGATCAGAACATCCAGGTCCTGGTTCAGGTCCTTCCTAGGGGGGGGGGGGGGGGGTTCTGATGACACCCCTGTCTGAGTGGTAGGTGGTCACATGCCGCTTTGGTGGGGTGCGGGTGGGGGGGTTTGTCCAGGTTGACAAAGATACTCGTCTCTGCATCTGTCGTTCCTTGCAGTATCGTTTTGTGACGGTAGGGGCAGTGTTATGCCTCACTAACGTTTCCTGTAAGCAGAAGAAGAAGAAGAACCGGAAAAGGGAGTTGAGCGTCAGTGTATGCTCCCTGCTCAGGCTCAGTCGACCAGGATTCAACCCCAAACAGACCTAGGACCATGTTGAGGGCCTGTCTAAGAGGAGCCAACGCCACATCCCGGGTAAGAGCCCGCGGCCGCTGTCCGCGTGTACACATGTACGCAGCGGCATCGGCATTAGCACCGTTAGCATGTCGTGTGTCATTCAGTGACCCTTGCTCGGTGTGCCCTGGCGGCAGTGACGGAGAAGAACTGTTCTGCGGTCTCTGTTAGAAGCTGGTGGCGCAGTGACGTCTAAGGGGCCAGTGACGTCATTTTCAGTGAGGCTTTAAGAAGCATAGAAAACACGTCACTGACATCTGTTAGCTTTCACTAACAGGCGGCCAAAGCTAACGACTGCAGTTCCTGTTCCCGCCATGTGGGGGAGACGCTGTTGGCCGTTGAGATCATGTGTTGATAGTTTGTTGTTACTGGTGTCAGACGGAAAGAAACGTCAGTTTTAAACACATTTCGGGTCTGTAATCGTCTGTCTGTGGTATTGAAACACAAACTGAAGGCTTCTCACCTGACCCACCCACGTGACCTCGGTGCGTTTATAAAAAAAGTAACATTTTAAACAGTTTTCATTTTCTCTTTCTTCAGAGAAACAGCGGGAGAACCGCGTTAGCCAACTTACAGCGATGTCAGCGCTATTCAACAGGACAGAGCAGGTGACACACACACACACACACCTCTTAGTAGTAGTAGTACTAGCAGTGTTAGTAGTACTAGTAGTATTAGTAGTATTAGTACATGCATTAACACCATGTCTGTCCTCTGTTGTCCATGCAGTGGTGGAGGTGCTGCTGCCAAAGTAGTTGCTGCTGGTTTGCTGACAGTAGGTGGTGCAGTTGGAGGCACAGTCCTGTGTTCAAAATGGGACCACAAGTTCAGAGCAGCTGTGGAGAAGAGTGTTCCGTACTCTGATTGGCTGCTGAATCTGGCTTTGGGACCTCCTCCTCAAGACATCGTTCTCCCACTCAAGAAGCAGGTCAGGACGTTTTACCAGTTAGTACCTGGATTCCCAGTTAGTACCTGGATTATCAGTTAATGCCTGGATTACCAGTTAGTACCTGGATTTCCAGTTAATGCCTGGATTACCAGTTAGTACCTGGATTCCCAGTTAGTACCTGGATTCCCAGTTAGTACCTGGATTCCCAGTTAGTACCTGGATTCCCAGTTAGTACCTGGATTATCAGTTAATGCCTGGATTACCAGTTAATACCTGGATTACCAGTTAATACCTGGATTACCAGTTAGTACCTGGATTACCAGTGTGTTACAGCCAAACGTCTACATCCTTAATGTGTCATCAGTCAGCTGTGTCCTCACTGACCACATGTATGTCCTGTGATCAGTGGTCAGTGATCAGTGGTCAGTGATCAGTGGTCAGTGATCAGTGGTCAGTGATCAGTGTGTGTTGTTCAGGTGGAGAAGACTCAGCCTCCGTCTATGATGGAGAAACGGGTGAAGACTTCCAAAACCAAGTCTGGGAAAAAGGGGGAGGAGCCAGAGGAGAGTCCAGCTCAGGAGACGAGTGCCGTCCAAGCTCAGCCTGCACTGAGTCTGGAGGGTGAGTGTCCACACACACACACACACACACACACACACAGTGAGTCCTGTTAGTCTGTGGTCGTCTGTCAGCAGTCAGAGGAGTAGGTCAAAGGTCACAGGTCACATCCATGGCCCTTGGTTTAATGACGGCTGTGTGTGTGTGTGTGTGTGAGCTGGTCAGTACACCAGTAGTCCAGAGAGCGTCTGATTGGTCCTCAGTCTTCAGCTGGTCTGATCTGGTCGTTGTGTCTCATGTAGAGGCGTCGGCGGAGGCCACGCAGATCCTTTCAGCCATCAGTGAGGTCCAGACTGTTCCTGCACCATGTGATACCGCTGTGGTCAAAGGTAAGGTTCTGACAGTGACCAACCCAAAAAACCCCTGAGACAAAACATACGGGGCAGTGGTGGCCTCGGGTCCGGAAGGTTGCAGGTTCGAATCCACCGCAGTGGTGCAGTGGTGTGTCACAATGACAAGTAGTTGACTGAATCACTGAGGTTTGACTCTTTTTGTTTTTAGAGGAGTGCAAAGAATGTCACGACCACAAACAAGGTCCGGCGACGGCATCGGTTCAGCCCGACACAGAGTCTGCTGCACCAGAACCACTGAAGGAGCGACCGGTGGAGGAGGTGACGGCCCGACTGGCCCGACAAGACCAAGAGGAGCAGGACGTGGTGGCATGTGAGCTGGTCTTCACACTGGCCGACTCCAGGTAAACGTTAAACGCTGACTCGTGCGTCCGGTCTCTCTCTGTCCTGCAGCGTTGTCCGTCACCCTGGAAGATTCTCTGTCAAACTCGGCCAAAGCGACTCTGCACGCCATCGGGGCTCAGGAAGCAGCGCTGCAGGCCATCACGCTGCACATACACCGACTGAAGGAGGCCATGGAGGCAGAGGTGAGCTGTCACACTGTGTCCGACTGTCGTTCTCTCAGACGGAGTTGGACCTCAGCGATTGATGATGTCACTGATCGATGATGTCACTGATCCCAGGTTCCGGCTGAAGAGAAGTCGGTTCAGTGGAAAGATCTAGAAGCAGCGTTGGCGAACAGAAACGCTGCTGTGAATGACGCCGGAGCTGCACTGAAAAAAGCCAAGTAAGATATTTCTACTGTTTCTGCACGGCAACCCTCGACGCCACCTACAGGCCAAGGTCAGGCTGCACAGGAATGAGTTTTACTTTGACATCATTTTCTTGACATTTTTCCATATTCATAATTCCACTGTTTAGATTGGAAATAAAAACACACGTCTAGCTGTTAATAAAGACTAGAACAGTCTTTACTGTCGTTGTAACTCGGGTACAACCAGATGATTGGTCTTGATTCCTGTGAAGACGAAGCGTCCACTCTGTGGTCCACGGTGAACCTTGACCTCTGCCCGCTCCTCCATCGACTTAGTGTTTAGTTTTTGACGAAGTCTGACGTGTCGTCTCCACACACACACACACACACACACACACACAGTGAGTCCTGTTAGTCTGTGGTCGTCTGTCAGCAGTCAGAGGAGTAGGTCAAAGGTCACAGGTCACATCCATGGCCCTTGGTTTAATGACGGCTGTGTGTGTGTGTGTGTGTGAGCTGGTCAGTACACAGTCCAGAGAGCGTCTGATTGGTCCTCAGTCTTCAGCTGGTCTGATCTGGTCGTTGTGTCTCATGTAGAGGCGTCGGCGGAGGCCACGCAGATCCTCTCAGCCATCAGTGAGGTCCAGACTGTTCCTGCACCATGTGACACGGCTGTGGTCAAAGGTAAGGTTCTGACAGTGACCAACCCAAAAAACCCCTGAGACAAAACATACGGGGCAGTGGTGGCCTCGGGTCCGGAAGGTTGCAGGTTCGAATCCACCGCAGTGGTGCAGTGGTGTGTCACAATGACAAGTAGTTGACTGAATCACTGAGGTTTGACTCTTTTTGTTTTTAGAGGAGTGCAAAGAATGTCACGACCACAAACAAGGTCCGGCGACGGCATCGGTTCAGCCCGACACAGAGTCTGCTGCACCAGAACCACTGAAGGAGCGACCGGTGGAGGAGGTGACGGCCCGACTGGCCCGACAAGACCAAGAGGAGCAGGACGTGGTGGCATGTGAGCTGGTCTTCACACTGGCCGACTCCAGGTAAACGTTAAACGCTGACTCGTGCGTCCGGTCTCTCTCTGTCCTGCAGCGTTGTCCGTCACCCTGGAAGATTCTCTGTCAAACTCGGCCAAAGCGACTCTGCACGCCATCGGGGCTCAGGAAGCAGCGCTGCAGGCCATCACGCTGCACATACACCGACTGAAGGAGGCCATGGAGGCAGAGGTGAGCTGTCACACTGTGTCCGACTGTCGTTCTCTCAGACGGAGTTGGACCTCAGCGATTGATGATGTCACTGATCGATGATGTCACTGATCCCAGGTTCCGGCTGAAGAGAAGTCGGTTCAGTGGAAAGATCTAGAAGCAGCGTTGGCGAACAGAAACGCTGCTGTGAATGACGCCGGAGCTGCACTGAAAAAAGCCAAGTAAGATATTTCTACTGTTTCTGCACGGCAACCCTCGACGCCACCTACAGGCCAAGGTCAGGCTGCACAGGAATGAGTTTTACTTTGACATCATTTTCTTGACATTTTTCCATATTCATAATTCCACTGTTTAGATTGGAAATAAAAACACACGTCTAGCTGTTAATAAAGACTAGAACAGTCTTTACTGTCGTTGTAACTCGGGTACAACCAGATGATTGGTCTTGATTCCTGTGAAGACGAAGCGTCCACTCTGTGGTCCACGGTGAACCTTGACCTCTGCCCGCTCCTCCATCGACTTAGTGTTTAGTTTTTGACGAAGTCTGACGTGTCGTCTCTCAGTGAAGCCCTGCAGAGTCTCAGGTCAGTGATCGACCAGTCCAAAGGCCTGAAGGTGGCGGCGGCGCGCCCCGTGGTCCTGGCAGCGGAGGAAAATCTTCATAAGATGGAGGTGGACCTGGATAAAATCATCACCAAGGTGAGGAGACCTTCACCAGGCTGGTGTTGGTACTGCAGCCACAGCTGTGTCTGATGGTGTGTGTGTGTGTGTGTGTGTGTGTGTGTGTGTGTAGGTCCACTCAGCAGAGTCAGAAGCCAGGATCGTCTCCCAGTACAGTGAACTCGTGAATGAAGCCAAGCAACAGTTCCAGAGAGAAGTGAGCAGCCTGACTCCAGAGATCCAGGCCAACTGGAAGGGACTGAGTAAGAACCACACACACACACACACACACACACACACACACACGCTGGTCAACACACTGACAGGACAGACATGTGGACCTGTTTGACGTCTGTGTGTGTCAGCGGGGAAACTGTCAGCAGACGACCTGAACTCTCTGATCGCCCACGCCCACCGTCGGATTGATCAGCTGAACCGAGAGCTGGCCGAGCAGCGGGTCAGGGAGCAGATCCACGTCGATGCAGCTCTGGAGCAGCAGAAGCTGGAGGACCAGAAGAGCCTGGAGAAGACGGTCAACACCGCACTGCTGCACATCAGGGAGGAGGCCCGTCTGGAGCAGGAGCACAAGGTGAGCTCCAACATCCAACATCCAACATCCAACATCCTCCCTGGACAAACGTCCACACCTGTGGTCCTCTGTCCACAGATGTTGAATGGACTCTCTCTCTCTCTCTCTCTCTCTCTCTCTCTCTCTGTGTGTGTGTGTAGTTGGCAGAGCTGAGAGATGTGATGGAGGCAGAGATGAGGACTCAGCTCCGGCGTCAGGCTGCCGCTCACACAGACCACGTCAGAGACGTCCTCAAAGTCCAGGAGCAGGAGCTGAGAGCTGATGCTGAGCAGGTCTGTGGAATCATCTCAGTCATCACCACCACCTGTCCACCACCTGTCCACCACTCCAGTCCAAAATAGTCTCTCAACTGGTGACACTTTCAGGGACTCCCCAGAGTCAAATCAAGACAAGTTGGATGGAGACACACATCAGTGTAGGACACATCAGTGTAGGACACATGGCTGTAGGACACATGGCTGTAGGACACATCAGTGTAGGACACATCAGTGTAGGACACATCAGTGTAGGATACGTCAGTGTAGGACACATCAGTGTAGGACACATGGCTGTAGGACACATCAGTGTAGGACACATGGCTGTAGGACACATCAGTGTAGGACACATGGCTGTAGGACACATCAGTGTAGGACACATGGCTGTAGGACACATGGCTGTAGGACACATCAGTGTAGGACACATGGCTGTAGGACACATGGCTGTAGGACACATGGCTGGAGGACACATGGCTGTAGGACACATGGCTGTAGGACACATCAGTGTAGGACACATGGCTGTAGGACACATCAGTGTAGGACACATGGCTGTAGGACACATGGCTGGAGGACACATGGCTGTAGGACACATGGCTGTAGGACACATGGCTGTAGGACACATCAGTGTAGGACACATCAGTGTAGGACACATGGCTGTAGGACACATGGCTGGAGGACACATGGCTGTAGGACACATGGCTGTAGGACACATCAGTGTAGGACACATCAGTGTAGGACACATGGCTGTAGGACACATTGCTGTAGGACACTAAAGGGTCATCTGGTCCGTGACACTACTTCCTGTTCCTCGGTGCTACAGCCCTGATGCGGTACAGTGGTGTAGCGTGTGGTGTTAGCCCTGCTGTGGTTTGATTCCAGGTCCTGGGCAGTAAGATGCTGGAGCAGGAGACTCGCTTCCGTCAGCTGAGTCAGGAACAGCTGGATAACTTCACTCTGGATATGAACGCTGCCTACGCTCGACTGAAAGGAGTGGAAGAAGCTATAGACAGTAAGATCCTCAGTCGAGAGTTTCTATTGGCCCGTTGGTGATGAGGGCGGTTCAAATACAGAAGCATGACAAAAATCCTCCTCATCATCCTCCTCGTGGTCGTCGTGGTGGTTCACCTCCTGTCCAGAGGAGAGTTGTTGTTAAAGTCTTGTTTGTCTTTTTATAATGTTTTTATCTGGACTCTTTGAGTAAACGTGGTCCATGAACATTAACCTGAACCTTCTCGCTGCTGTTGTCTGGCCGTAGGTCATGTGGTCGCAGAGGAGGAGGCTCGCAGAGCTCATCAGCTCTGGCTCTCCGTGGAGGCTCTCAGCTACGTCCTCAGAAGCGCCGATGTCGATTCACCCACCGTGCCTCTAGAGGGCGGCGCGCAGGTGGTGCGGGAAAACTGCCACGACAACGAGTTCGCCTGTGCTCTGGCCTCGGCTCTTCCAGAAGAGTCCCTGAAGCGCGGCGTGTACAGCGAGGCCGCTCTGCGTGCCCGGTTCAACTCCCTGCGCTCGCTGGTCCGCAGGGTCGCCCTCATTGATGAATCCCATAATTCCCTGTATCAATATTTCCTGTCCTACCTTCAGGCTGCTCTGCTGTTTGAGCCCAAACAGGAAGCTCCGCCCACCCAGTTGAGCAGCGAGGACCTGGATCCGTTCAAGCTCCTCTCATACGCCACTTTCTGCTTAGAGCACGGAGATCTGGAGCTGGCAGCAAAACTGGTGAACCAGCTGAGAGGAGAGGCCAGGAGAGTGGTGGAGGACTGGCTGACCGAGGCCAGACTCACCCTGGAGACCAGACAGGTGGTCTCGCTGCTCGCTGCTTATGCAAACGCTGTTGGCTTAGGGACCACGCAGGCTCCTTAGGTCGATGCTCCCCAACCTGGGGCTCCTTTAGGGAACGTTCCAGGTCCCTTTAGGTGGACTGAAGCCAGCTAACACCGATGTTATCACGCAGCCTCGGCTCATTATCGTTAAAGCACTAAGTCTCTGTGGACGAACAAATGTAGGATGTGTACGTGGTACAGCAGCAGATGTGTCAAACCTGGACCAGGTGTCGGGTCCACAGGTTTGGCCCTGGTATTTATTGTTTTGTGTGAAAAGAAAAGAGGAGAGAACTTTAGTTGGAAATGTTTGGAAAAGCTGGCGTTTTATTTTTGTTGGTTCTGCACATGTTACAATAAACCATGAACTGCACCGGAGTCTCCCTTCATTATTCCTCACAACACAAGGGCAACATGTTGTGTCAAATGTCCCATTGTTCATCTTTGACGGTCTTGGATCAGAATACCACCAAAGAACCATCCAGAACCGAACCACGTCAGTTCCAGTGGTCCTCCAGTTCATGTTAACCCAAACCCTGAACACGTGCCGTGTTTGACCGACGGCCTATTGTCCAATGTTCTGTCGTCGTGAACTGCTCACTGTCCACAACCACCGGGTTCGTGCCCGCCGTCTGTTGACGTCGTTTCCGGTCGATGGACAAAACACTTTTGTTGCTCATTATTGTTCGTTCGTCGAAGTTCTTGTTTTATTATAAAACCTTTAATCGTTTCGAACACATTACACTTTGTGACTAGCATCAGTGCAGCTAACGGCAGCTAGCATCATGACAGCACTTCCAGGAAGCCTGACTATAAACGTTATTTCCTGTGAAGTGAAAGCCACTGAAGCTGCATCTCGCGAGAACAGCGAACTCTACGTGGCTTCAAGTGTTGACACTGACTCCTGTGACGATAGTGAAGCAGGGATGGCATTTTTTGGCTTTTAT